TAGTACATGTACACTTTGATTCCAGCCATTTCTGTAATAACTCTACCTCCGCTTACCCCTCCTCATAGGAAAAGAATTCCGTGACAGTGCAGCCTTACATTCTACTGCTAAACACTTCTCAAAAGTTACTTGCAAAAAGCTCATTTGTTAGTTGGTTGCTTTCAGTTAAAGCTACAGATCATATTAAATACATTTTCAGATCTCTTCATGTTAGAAGAGAAATGTTAGAAACTAGTTTTCCAAGTTCACCTGAGTATATTATCTTTTTACAATAAAATGACATAAACTTGATGCTTCGGTCTTGCAAATTGGGGAACTGGACATTAATATCATTTGTTAATCTGAAGAAGCAATGGCAAGGAGAGAGTAAAGAAAAGAAAGTGAAAAAGAATAGAAGGTTGAAATACCAAATCAATGATAAGGTGTTGAGAGAAAAGTAAGGCAGGAATGTTAGAATCACCTGGGATGTATGCCAATTCCCCACAAAAATTGTGGTGATTATGTACTGTGAACATGTACTGATAAAATAAAATATATACATATAAATATAATTTTAATTACATCTATAGATATACAGATATAGCTATAGAGAGAGAGAGACAGGAGAGAGCCTTATTTCCTACCCCTATGGAGATAGGGGTACATTGTATTATAAACATTGTATTATAAATTAGGAGCAAGCATCCACAATTATCTCAGACGTCACAATCCACACGCCAGCATTCTGCATGTGACCTGAAAGTTCATTGGATATACAGAATCTCACAATGCATCCAAGGCCATTGAATAAGAACCCACATTTTAACAAGAGTCCTGAGGCCAGGAGTGGTGGTGCACGCCTGTAATCCCAGCACTCGGGAGGTTGAGGCAGGAGGATCGATGTGAGTTAGAGACCAGCCTGAGCTACCTAGTGAGTTCCAGGTCAGTGTCAACTACATAGTGAGACCCTGTCTCAAAAAACCAAAACAACAACAACAAAAAAAGAGGCCTGGTTCATTTCAACATGTATTAAAGTTACAGAAGCACAGTATACAGTACTTATGGCTTGCATAAAATGATTGCCTTGAAGTTATTTTCTTGGCCTTTTAATAAAGCTAATGTTTACTGAGCATATATTATATGAAAAACACACTGTTCAGCCTTTAAATGTCTTATATTTAATCTTCACAACCCAATGAGACAGCCATTACTTTACACTCGTTTTATAATTGGATTCTGAGTAATGAGAGAAATAGCTCACCCAAACACTGAGACTGATCATGTGAAGATTTAAAACAGAAATTCTGATCTCAAAGTCTGTGCTCTTAGTTGCTAACCACAGTGTTTACTCTGTACTGGATTGCCTACTTTTAAAGACAAATTAATTATTTGAGAATTTATTTAAAGTTGTCATTTGAAATCAAGGCCTCTTTACCTCACAGGGAAAAAAAATCAAGATCTATTCCATTTTTTTCACACATTTGCCATTGAGTATAGTAATAGGAATTCTAGAAATTCCTGTTTTAGTTGGCAAACATTATTAACATGATGACAGCCCATCCAAACTCATCCAAATGGATATACTTAATATGTATATAGAGTTTTGGACATCAGTTTTACCTCAACAAAGTTTTATAAAAATAATTGCAGCTGGCATGGTGATGTGTGCCTATAGTTTTAGCTACTGGAAAGCTTGAAACAGTAAGATCAATTCATCTAGAAGTTCAAAGCCAGCTTAAGCAACATAGTGAGGCTATTTTAATAAATAGATTATATACTTTTAAGAGTTAATTTCTTTTTATATCTCTATTTTCCCACCCTTTACCTAAAATTTACTATTTTTTCCCTAAAATTTACTACTTACCTTTTGGTGTTCTAATGTTAAAAAATTATCTCTAAATAGGTCACTTAATTTTTTTCAGCATTCGAATTCAAATTATATATTACTTTTTAAGGTTTTAATATAAATGCTTATTTACCACAAGCATGGTTTTAAAGCTGTAGTCAGATACAGATACTAAACAGTCCCCAGAGAAGCGATCACGCGTGTGTATTTTAAGCCAGTGACTCCCCAAATGATTTAGTTCCTGAAGTATTTCTCCCAGCGCATGCAGATCCTCTGACATCTGTCAGAAGAGTCTGGCCAGAGGTCCCTTGTTTGGACAGTAGGTCATCTGTTAGGAGAAAGACTGAGCTGAATCCAAGTTCCCTGGGATCATGTTGGAGGAGAGAGGTGTCCCAACAGGACAGGACACCATGACATAGTGAAGGCACATCTGTGGGGGACTAAACTTCACCACCTGCTTGGTCATCGAACTCAACATACCCAGGCAACACTAAGGGCACAATGTGCAACTTTTAAGTTATAGATTAGGGCAGCGTCAACCCAGGCTTGCTGTAATGTGTACAGCAGGTCTAGGAAGGGGAAGTAGAATCTGGAAGAAACGTTGCACTTAGCACGCAGAGTCTCTTCCTGCTGAAAAGTTATAAAGCACCAATGATTATCCCCTGTGGCTGTGAGAGCTCCACAGTTTCACTAAGCCTGACCATTTGTGACCTTGTGACTACGGCAGAACACAATCTCTATCAGGGTTTCTTTTCCTAAACAGATTGAAAAATCTTACAGGTTTTCTTCCAGTAAACTTCATGCATTAACAATTTTATAATCATAATTTTATTTACTTTGTAACCCAAATTATCCTTGTTACCCAATTCAAATTCATTTTTGCATGCTTCTAAATCTATGTGGTATTCCTCTAAAAAATAATATTCTATTAATTCAGATTTAATAACTTAATTCTCTTTCCATTCCACTGACATCACTTCCTGTAAAACACATAGAATTGTGATGTCCCCTAGCTTTTACCCTTCACATGGTTCACTGGTGCCACTTTATTGGGAATGGAAAAGAATCTGATATGATCCCCATATAATGACTTCTTGAGCATGTCCTGGCCTTTTATCTGCTGAGAGAAGAGTGCAAATAAGAGGAAACAGACCATGTGATAAAAAATTAAAAATTCATTATCTATTCTATATAACATATTTCATATATTGTAACATTTCATGGCAAGATAATCAAAAGCTTTTGAGAATTATTAATTTTAGGTTTAATTTTTTTCTTTCTTTATTTGGTATCTGCTTTTCAAATTTCCTGTAATGAATGCCTATTACATTTTTATTTCTCACTTTCTTTTTGACTTGGAATTTCTATTACTTTCCTCATAACTCTCTCTGGATTTCAAGTCTTGAACAACCTCTATTAACTCTCTGGTGAATAATATTATAAATCTTATTCTTTCAGTAATTTTCACCTACAGTTTGTTAGACCTTCACAAAAAAGCAGATAGCCTTCATACAATCTTGGTATCTTATAGGAGAAATCATCTTATGTAAAACATCTTTTGCTAGTAGACCTTCATAATGCCAAAATTCTAAATTACAATACTACTATAGTTGGGCATATTTTTTAAAGTACCCTATATACAATCTTCAATTTAAAATAAAATCTTCCAAATCCATACTGAAAAATATTAACTTGGCTACATAAAAACAAATTAATGGTTGTATAACAAAAACTACCATAAACAAATTCCAAAGATGAACAAAAAAACAGGAGAGGCTATAGCTACACATTACATATAAAAAGACAATTTCTGTAATGTAACCTGGGCTTTTAACATGAGAAACGATGAACAATCCAAGTGAAAAATGAATGAAAAATCTCAGCAAACCAATGAAATAACTACTGAAAATAGTAAGAAAATAAGAAGTCAATCTTTCTTCACAATTAAAGAACTGTAAATGAAAACATTGAATTAAGAATGATTTGATGAAATCCAGATTTTTAATACCAGACTTCTGTTGTAACCTTTATAGAAGCCATTTTGTAATCATCTATCACAGATTTAGAGTATACAAACAATTTTGCTCAGCAATCCATCTGAAATTTACCCTACTGATACATCCATATAAGTATAAGAATGTTTTTATATATAAATGAGGCACTGAAACATTTTTTTTCCTTTCAGACAAAAGTGAAATTGGCAAAAAACAAATTAAAACATGTTAATGGCAGGCTAGTTAAATAAACATATATATCAATGTACTGCATGGAATATTATTTGATCATCAACTGAATTTATATGGGAGATTTATATGTACTGATATAGGAAGTTCCCATAGCCATACTATTAAGTAAAATTACTAAAGACCGAAAAAAGCTAAATAACGCAACACATAAAAAAAAGAATATGGGCTGGGGATTTATCTCAGTAGTGCCACCACCTGCCTCGCAAGTGCAATGACCCGAGTTCGATCCCTGGTACCACAAAAAAAGAAAAGAAAAGAAAAAGAAAGAAAGAAAGAAAGAAAGAAAGAGAAAAGAAAGACTATGAGTCTTTTACGCATGTATATAGATGGTTTTAATGTTCTAGAGAGATAAACTAGAAATTATTTACTTGTAAGTATCCTGGTTAGTGAATCCAGAGACAGACATGACAAGGAAATAGATGCTTACTTTTATTTTATATTCTTCTGTAACTCAAAATTTATACTATAGGCAGGTATTACTTCCATGAAAAAAAAGGATCTTTACAAAGGTATTTGTTAAGTTATGGTGCAATAACATTTGTACAAACTTTATTTTTTTAAAAAAAGGTTATTTATCAACGTTTAACTTAAATTCATAAGTAAAAATGTAATCCATTATTTATTTTTCCTGGTAGTATCTCTACAGAAAGCATCATAGAATAACACTACATTGTTTTACAAAAAAAAGAATTATTTTTCCCTCTCTCTCATGTGTCAACAAGGTATTGAGGTGAGCATAATCAGGAAAAGAATAAGATCCCATGACAAACACTTAGTACAACCTAATTCTAGAAAAGGAAAATGGGTCTTGATTGGTAGAACAGATTAGATTAGTTTATTCCCTTCTAAAACATTCTTAATATGCAATGCTAATGCCCACTGTGTACATTAAAAAATAAAATTCTGACCTCATTTGTGTACCACTTTAACTTCTTTTTTTCTTTTCAGATTTGAGATGTGATAGATTGGTCTAAAATGGCTGGGTTTTTATCTCAATAAGTTACCGGAGCCATCCCAGAAAGTGGCCACCAGGTAAGTGTTTTACCTCTCCAGCATTGTATCTGTCAATAGTTTTCTCTAAATAAGTAACAGTGGAGGTAACACAGTAAGCCACAAAGATCTTCCTTCTATGAAAGACATAGAGGAAGGAGAAAAGAACAGAATTCCAATGTCACTGTATTCCCTTCAAAACACCAATTTAAAATGTACATATTTATGATGTTAAATGTAAACAGTATAAGAATTGCCAAAATGTTTCCATTTGTGTAGTGAGCATAAACATTTAAGAGATCTACAGCCCCTTGGCAGAGACCCTTTTAGCCATAGGAGATTGCTTGAGCGATATTCTCTTTGCCGGGCTGATCCATCTGGATATGACTGTGCTGTCTTCTCTGGGGTAGTGGATCTGTGCTCTGTGGTTCCCCGGGTACTCATGTCCACAGTTTTCAAGATCATGAACCTAAAACACTGACATGCTCAGAAAACTCATGCATCTGAGTCTCATCCCTACAAACTTCTCCCTAACCCCAGGGATGAGATGTGGGGGAGAGATGATATGAAATTGTAGATAGAGGCAGTCTGATCCTGTGACAGGCCTTAGTGACACAGTGTCACATAGAGGGACACTAATCTTTTAGAAGCTGCAACTGGTTTGTCCAACCATCCCTGTCTCGTGAGCCTATCTCATATTTTTCATAAAAAGAATCCTTGATTTATGCAACTAGGAGGATTTTTAAAAAAAGGATAAGCCCCAAGCCTCAGCTTCCTGGAGGAAAGGAAAAAGTAACTTATACCATTCTGAAGATATTGTAATTCTGTTTTATCATCACAGAGGTTAGGTAAGTGCTGGGTTAGAAGACGGAAGTGACTTTATTCCCTTTTTTTTTTTTTTTTTTTTTTTTTTTTTTTTTTT